TGGGATGATTTTCAAACATACAAGATTTGGTCCATGTCCCACTCTGGTCCTGTAAATGCAGTGGGAAAAAAAGCAAACAAACAAAAATTGTACAGATGCAAAATATTTTTTTTTCACTTTAAGTTTTTGGGGTAAAATCTGACCCAGACATTTCTTTGTGAAATTCACCATTTACAATACAGAACATAAGAATGAACTAACTTTATGAACACGTCACTGAAAAACAAACGTGCACTAGAGAGGAACTGGAACTGCTCAGGATATTCAATGCATTTCATTCTATCACAAAAATTGAAAAGATGAAAAAATATGGCATGCCGTAAAAGTGTTTTATACTCAAGTATTCTGCTGATCTTACATTGAATTATGAGCACATTTCATAGCAGTGAGTGATTTCAGTGCTGGACATCTGTGGATTTATTATTAGTGGTTCTTTCGAAACATACCTGCACTGAGACTCTAGTCCAGACGTCCTTTCATTCATTCTGACATCAATATTCAACTTTGTCAAAGTGGAGTGAATAGAAACAGTGCAAATCACAATGTCACAGCTTGAAGTGAATCTACATGTGTTTGTGTATATGCAACTGTTCTGATCTCCTTCCCAATTGTGAGTGCACATTATGTCATGACAGCCAAAATACCTGTTTAAAACCCGTTTTTCTTTGCTCCATTCAAGTCATTGAATGTTCTTCCAGGAAAGTCTTCCTCATACTTCCTACTTCCGTATGCGGGAGCGCTGTCTAGATAGTCTGTTCATGAAGCAGCACGTCACAGTGGCGATAATCAATATGCCCACAAACAGCGCAGACGACACGCCGATCACGAGAGGTAAGAGCAGCAGATCAGTGACTGTGGAGAAAATCAATTAAAACATGTCAATAATGAGTCTTTCAGTTCAACACCAGATCACGCAAGCATGCTAGGGCTAAATGTATCTTCTGGAGTGAACTGAAGAATTTTTCATGCTAAGAAAGCAAGAGGAAACTACTAGAACAGGAGTTTTCAAAATGGGGTTCACAAAGAATTAAGGAAAAAAGAATATATGAAATGCATTTTTAGTGCTTTCAAATGTATTGTGCACACATTGAATAAGGACAAAAAAACTAATATTTATTTTGAAATAAAAATATATAAAATAATACAAAAAATATATTGTATTCTAAAATGTATGTGTGTGCACAGTATATATATATATATATACAATTTGTAAAAAAAGAAAGGTAAAAAAAATTGAGGAAAAAGAATATATAAAATGTATTTAGTGCTTTCAAATTGAATGTGCGCACATAAAAAAAAGCATAAATATAAAGTAAATATTATTTATAGTGAAATAAAAACATAAAACGGAAAAATATTTTAATATATATTTTATTCTAAAATGTATAACTATATATATTACATATACATATATTAACATATTCAATATATATTTATTTTAATATAAAAATGTGTATATTTGTGTGTGTGTACGTACATAACTAGTAAAAAAAGAAAACCTTTCCAAAAAAAACCTTTCCAAAAAAGAATCATAAAAATAAAAAGTTAATATTTTCCAGATAGCATTTTAACAATTTGCAAATATGTGTCCCTGCAGTACAGAAGCAGTGTTGAGTCGCTGGGGTATATTTGTAGCAATAGCCAACAATACGTTGTATGGGACAAAATTATTGATCTTTCTTTTATGCCAAAAATCATTATGATATTAAGTAAAGATCATGTTCCATGAAGATATTTTGTAAATTTCCTACCGTAAATATATCAAAACTTAATGTTTGATTAGTAATATGCATTGCTAAGAACTTCATTTGGACAACTTTAAAGATGATTTTCTCATTATTTAGATTTTTTTGCACCCTCAGATTCCAGATTTTCAAATAGTTGTATCTCGGCCAAATATTGTCCGATCCTAACAAACCATACATCAATGGAAAGCTTTTTTATGCCTAAAGAATGACACTTAAGACTGGTTTTGTGGTCCAGGGTCACATATAATATAAAACAATTATATTCATTCAAAACAACAATATAAAATAATGCAGACGCCTTTATATTTTAGAAAGGGGGTCGTTATGTTTGAGAGTCCTTGGCATCAAAATGCCAAGTAACTACCGTCACACAGGTTATCCCTGTAGAGAAACAGCTGATCATAGCTCACCTCGTGCGTACAGGTACAGGTTTACGGTCACGGACTCGGCTTCAGCGCCGGTGCTGTACCATCCGCCGCGCGGATCCTGCGCCCAAACCTTGGCTCGACACTGAAAGTGTCCCTGATCCTCTTCAGCGGCCGAGAAGATCCTCAGCCTGAAGCAGCCAGCAGACACACGGTCCACGCTCACGTCGCTGCCGTTGCTGTAGATGCGCGTCAGGCCGTCGTAGCTCAGAGACGCCAGGAGCCTGCCTTTGCTGTCCTCAGAAAGCGTGGCGCCTTTCCTCGCCATCTCCTCGGGTTTCTGAAGCCACTGCACCTCGACTCGTGAAGCACCGGTGGCTTCCACAGAGACGTTGCAGAGCAGCGTGACGGTGCTGCCGCGCTTCAGGAGCGGCCGGCGTGGCAAATCAATGCTAGCAGATACACGCACCTCTGAACGGACACATAAACACAAACAAATGCTACGTTTATAAACTCTCAACACGGCATAAGGGTTAATCTAATCCAGGGGTCTACAACCTTCAATTTCATTCGGGAGCTACTTTTTAAAAATGAAAGCGGCTGAGCGCTACCAATGTTTTACAGCTATCATAGGACAGAACAAGAAAAGCTATAAATAATATTTAATTGCGCAAAAGTATTTTAATACCAGCTTCCAGAAGAGATCAGATGTGCTAAAACATTAGCCACATTCAAATCTAGACTCAAAACTCATCTGTTTAGCTGTGCATTTACTGAATGAGCACTGTGCTACATCTAAACTGATGGCACTGTGTTTTATGTATAATAATTTTCTACTCTTAACTGTTTGAATACATTTTAAATCAATGTTTAAGTCATTTAAGCCTTGTTTTTATTGTTGTGATTATTTTTATGATTATTTTACTTCCTCCTATGTAAAGAGATGCATAGAGAAGTTCAAAGCACAAAGGAAAGCGTTATTGATGCGTAGTTTATTAGATCGGTGCGATAGTTTATTGAGACTTTTCTTTTAACAGTTTCAAATCTCAGTTACTGTGCGCTCTTGGAGAGAGTTTCATCGTCTTGGATTGGTCTCGTCTGAGTATCAGAGCCGATAACGATACTGAATATCGGATCAATGCATCCCTACTTATGATTTGAAAAAAAAAAGCACTGGGTGGATTTTTATCATTATAGGGTTGTTGTGTACACGCACTGCCAACACACATTTATGTTCAAACACCATGTAAAAGTGAATTTTGCATCTTATCTCCCCTTTAATATATCGGCCAACACTAACTGTGACACTATTTTTTTGATTAGAGATGCACTCATAAACTTAAAACGTGCATAAACACTTCCTCACGCACCTTCAGTCTTCAGGCTAACAGTGACCCACTCTGATCTCTGTGTGATCGTGGCGGGACTCTCCGGTGCTGGTGTTTTCCTCCCGGCGTAGACGCTCACAGCGCAGCGATAGAGTCCGGCGTCAGCGGGGCGAACGGAGAACAGGCGCAGAGAGAAGCTCCCGTCGGCCTCCTTCTCCATGCTGCCGCCTCCTGCCCTGCTGAGATCATCACCCCAGGCCACCACGCCGTCAGGATCCACGCGCGCCACCTCCACCTCCACACCGCCCTCCAGCCCGCGCCGCATCCACTGCACCTGTAGAGCCGAGCGCTTCCACGCACCTACACCCAACACCTGACAGCGGAGGCGGAGCGGAGCGCCGGGCCGCAGAGAGACATCACCATCCGGGACAGAGCGCACACTCAGTGTGTCCGCTGGGGAGAGACAGCAATAACAGACTGGTTATTATATTCATAATGAATAGAGCAGCACTCTAACACTGTCTGAGCTTTAAATAGAGACTAACCCACACCTCTTATTGCTATTGCTCAGGTCAATAGGTCAATAAACATTGATGCCGCACCATCATTTAGTTTGAGTACAAGCACACAAAACATGCATGATTTGGGGGGTGGGGGGGTATTGCTAAAAATTGCAACTGTGATTTATACAGAGATAAAAATTCCAAGTTTTTAGAGCTGCACAATTTGGCAAAAATTTTGTGATTATATACCAATAAAATAATAATAATCGCAATAATATATTTTACAGTAAAATATTATAATATTATATTGCAAATAGGTGGAAAATTTCGCAAAACTTTTGCAGCCTTTTTTGCAAACTTTCAGAACTTTTTGGGAAGTTTCTAGAAATGTACCGGATATTTTCCGCCCCTTTGCAATCCTAATTAATAATAAATATATTTAGATATTTAATAATGATACATTTTTATTAGTATTTTATTTTACAGTGAACTTTTATTTAGTACTTATTAATAAATATAAACATATAACTATAACATATATAAATTATATTATTAATGATATAATTATGAATACATATATTTGTATATTAATAAATAATATAATTTTTTATAAATATACAAATATTTAAAAAAAATATATATACATATCACTAAAACTAATCGAATAGTAATATTTCACTAAAATAAAAAATAATCAAGTATTAATAATAAAAATATTTAACTTTGCAAGTGTAAAATTACAAAGTTAATATTTATGGCTGTCTTAATTTCTTAATAAAAAAATAAAATAAAAACCTTAATACGTGTACTGCGTTAGGCTACCCGAAACACTTACATTATTGTAAGTAATAATATTACTTACTAATAAAATAAGTATTAATAAGTGTGCTAAATGACTAAATGTAAATGTATTGCGGTTTTGATTGCTTCTATTGTCCTCATTTGGATAAAAAGCGCCTGCTAAATGCCTAGATGTAAATGTAAACGTTATGTAAATGTTTCTAACCAAGCGGTTGAACGGTGAGATTCCCGAGCTCCATGGTCCTCTGTGCGATGCGTTCCCATTTGCCATCCGGATCTCTGATCCATTGCGCAGCCTCGCAGAAATACGACCCAGAATCCTCGGGTGCCAGAGCGCTCATCTTCAGTACGTACAGATCCCGGCCTCCGTCCCCCTTCCGCTTCTCCACAGCGATCTCTCCATCCCCGTATCTCTTCCCGTAGGTGCCGCTGTGGCCCGGTGTCACGCGCAGCTCACGGTCGATGCCGATGATCTCTCTGAGGTTGTGACCCTGAGACTCCGGGCCCCTGCTGCTGCGCACGACGAACGTGACGGACACATGAGTGTGCTGATCCGATTGGATGGACGCGGCGCACGTCAGCTGAAGCTCCGTGCCTTCGATAACGGGTTGGCCGCTCAGAATGCGAGAGTGTGTTATGAGCAGCGTGTCGGGAATCACTGCGGAAATAAAGGACAAAATGCTTTCAATTCATATTTATATACAAGAATATGTTTCTTAAAAACCATTCAGAAAAATTTACTTTTTGCCCATTTTGATGACATGACTCAATAGGTTATGCAAAATATTAAACAGTAAAACCCCAAGAAAATGTCATAATATGCACGATTAAAAAAAAACACATTATAGTTATTTTATATATATATATATATAGAGAGAGAGAGAGAGAGAGAGAATATATATATAGAGAGAGAGAGAGAGAGAGAAAGTAAATAATTTGTATTCATGTTGCTTTCATATGGTTTCAAAACTTTCATACCATTTTTATATATAATAATAATTTTTTTTTTTTACAATAAATACGATTTTTTTTAAATGCGCAAAGCCGACCTCATACGTCATCTGCCTGGAGCTGCTTCTGTGTACAACTGTTGGCGCAAGCTACATTAAAGTGATTATTACGTTTTGAATATGGATATTTTTCTTACAAAACACATCGATTCGCTACAGGAGGCCTTTGTTCACCCCCCGGAGCCGTGTGAGACACTTTTTTTTTTATGGATGGGCGCTTTTTATTTAACTTCTTTTGGACTGATGCATGCAACACCCGCTGAGTGCCATTAAACAGCTTGAAAGATCAAAGACAATGTTTAATATAACTCCGACTGGATTCGTCTGAAAGAAGAAAGTCATATACACCTAGGATGACTTGAGGGTGAGTAATTTATGGGCTAATTTAAATTTTTGGGTGAACTAACCCTTTAAGATATTTTTGATCAAATCCAAGAGCTCTCTGACCCTCCCATAGACAGTAAGGTTACTACCACGATCATAGTAAGGACATTGGTAAAATAGTCCATATGACATCAGTGGTTCATGACAGAATTAATGACAGAATTTTAATTTTTGGGTAAACTATCCCTTTAAGACTATTTAAGACCTGCAGAAACCCCTAATAAGAATTTCCCACATGCATTTGTAACACAATTTATTTTAATAACTTTCATCATCAACCAATCTGTCATTTTTTCTGATTTACCACCTACTGGCTAATTTAAATTTTTGGGTGAACTAACCCTTTAAGATATTTTTGATCAAATCCAAGAGCTCTCTGACCCTCCCATAGACAGTAAGGTTACTACCACGATCATAGTAAGGACATTGGTAAAATAGTCCATATGACATCAGTGGTTCATGACAGAATTAATGACAGAATTTTAATTTTTGGGTAAACTATCCCTTTAAGACTATTTAAGACCTGCAGAAACCCCTAATAAGAATTTCCCACATGCATTTTTATTTATTGGTGCATCAAATTTATTTTAATAACTTTCATCATCAACCATTCTGTCATTTTTTCTGATTTACCACCTACCTTTGACCACCACTGATGAGCTGTAGTTCCCTAGGAAGCGGGTGTCAGTGCTGGGCGTGTAACACTCGTAACGGCCCTGATCGTCTGGATGCAGCCTCTGGATGATCAGTCTGGCTTTGTCGCCCGAATCCCTCTCGACTCGAACCTCACCGGCCTGCACGCGACCCTGGAACGGCGCATACGGAAAGCCTGCGTCCCGTGTGGACACCACACCGATCTGCCGACCCTCAGCATCCTCCCGGTACAGATACCACTCAAAATCCTGTGTCCGTGGACCTTCGTATCCCGAAACGGCGCAGGGCAGGGACAGCGAGAAACCTGCGACCCGATACAGCGGCCCGGCGGGAAGAGTGACCTCACGGCACACGCAGCACTGCAACTCTAACACACAAACAGAACGAATGCTAATCAGTCTGAAGGTTAACCACAGGGATCAATACATGCAAAGCAGTTTTCTGAGCGAGGTCGATCAATTAGCTCACGCTGCACAATATTTACACTCAAATAATCTCATTTAAATGGGAATATTGCACAAAACATTCTAATTAAATGTAATCTATTCCACACCTATTCACACCCACAATGATTGTTCATAACGTACATGTACAGGTGTTTCTTCACCTATGCCACTTTTAGAAACTAAACTGGATATCTTAGTATGTGATGCATTGTAAATACAATCTTAAAAAAATATTTTAACATTTTTTGCATACTTGCACCAAATTACAGCTTGATTGGAAACAGTACACAATAAAAATATTGATATTTACCTTGATTTTTCTTCATATTTTATCTCAATCTCCTCTCTGACACCTCTCAGAAACTAGTTTTAGAAAATGTAATCTTTAATAGGCCAGAATGGTTGGTTGTGATAAAAATTATGCAATTTGCTATTTTTATAATTGATATAAAGTTGTATTTTCAATTCAATCTGAACTGATATATGTTTTATATGTAGTGGTATGTGGCGTGTCATGTTGGTCATGGTTTTATGTCTGGTATATGTGTAAAGCACTTCAACTTTGGTTGTTTTATTGGTGCTAATATAAATAAATATAATTTTTATACAGTAGGAATCAACACATGCAAAGCAGTTTTCTGAATGAGATCAATAAATTAGCACACTACACAATATTCCCACTTAAATGAGGGCACCGTCAAATACCGCCCCATATTCCCGGGACAGGGCGTATGTATTGTTTATTCATGCCCACCCTTTGTTTGAGCATGTTGTAATGCGTCTCTGAATAAAAGGGTCAGAGTAATGAACACTAATGCCATTCTGCCAGTCTACGCCCATGTTTTACAACCTGTGAGCTCACAGCTGAACCCATCGTTTTCATAGGGCGAGTCATTTTGCAGACCTGGCTGAGGGTTATTTGCATACATCCTCATTCTGCTAAAAGGAACCAGAAATAAACCAGACACTCTTAACCATATTAAGCTATTACATTACATTTGATACATGAACTTCTAAGACCTTTAAATGATCAACATGATCTAACTTTACTGTTAAACCTGTTGCACTCAATCTACTCCATGTCTTCTGTCGTCTGACTGATAGTTTTTTATCAAGTCAAAGCTCTTGTGTAAGCTCTTTCAGCTTGTGCTTCACGTGTCTTTTTGCTCTCAAATCTTGACTGATTTTGATCAAGTAATCGTCAGAATAACGTCAGTAATATCTCCAGATGAACTCTTACTGCACTGAAGCAGCTCAGCTTTACTTGATTCTCCATCAATCATGTTTTAGAGTCTCAAATCTGATCCTCAGGATCTTTTGAGGAGCGTTTGTTTCCAGAAGCTTTACTTTCACTGTTCCTCAGCGGAGGAATGATCTTCACAAGCCTCCAGAACATCTCACATCTGAGGAGGAGCCTTTATTTCTTCAGCTCTCAATCAGCATTGCATTAGATCATTTAAATCTCATCTTACTAAGACATTATTGGAGATATAGCATGACGACTGATATTTAGATAATTTTATGTCAGTATCTGTTGCTGTATTGTTATAAAGATCTAATTGATTTACCAGGATCTTTTGAGGAGCGTTTGTTTCCAGAAGCTTTACTTTCACTGTTCCTCAGCGGAGGAATGATCTTCACAAGCCTCCAGAACATCTCACATCTGAGGAGGAGCCTTTATTTCTTCAGCTCTCAATCAGCATTGCATTAGATCATTTCAATCTCATCTTACTAAGACATTATTGGAGATATAGCGTGATGACTGATATTTAGATAATTTTATGTCAGTATCTGTTGCTGTATTGTTATAAAGATCTAATTGATTTAGATTACAAGCATCATAATTTCATCATATAAATATCAGCATCTGTTGCAAATTTAAGCAAGGTTAAATAACAGCTGAAGCATTTCTTGACTCATTTTCTCCCCCCAAAAAATGTTTATTTAAAATATTTATGCTGAACTAATTCAATAAAATAGGGCAATTTCAGAGGTAAATTTGGGTTTGACATGCACTAGGAAGCAAGAGTTAAACTTCTGAATCAGGGCTCTACAGTGCGACCATTTCAGTCGCATTTGCGACAGAAAACTACTGCGTGCGACTAAGAAACATTTTTTAGGAGCACCAGTGCGACTGACCAGATCATCATCATATTTGTGATTGCTCTCAGGGGAGCTTCAAAGATTTCTACGTGTTTTTGCAGCGTTGAGTAATGTATCACAGACATATCTCACAAATCCTTTCATAAGCAAAGTGTAGACGGTGTAAATAAAAGATTCATTGTGCAGTGTAGAGATTATAAATGTGAGATCGCGATGAGCTAAGATGACAGATTTTAAGTTTGTAAATGTGTTTGTAAATGTGATACTGATTTAATACAACAGTTCAATAGACAAGAAGTTAATATTAAGTGACTTACATTGTCTGACTATAACACTATTGTCTGATTTTGCTCTATTTCTCCGTTGAAAATAGTTTAAAACAAAGACATAGCGAAGCCGCTGCGCATCTCTATTCAAACACAGCGGTGTTTCGTTTATGAATCAACGGGGCATTTTTAAACGAATCTAGTGAGTCAGTCACTTGCTTCATTCCGAGCTTCACATGTCAAATCTTGACTGGTTTTATCAAGTAAAGATCAGAATAACTGCAGTAATATCTCCAGATGAACACTTACTGCACTGAAGCAGCTCAGCTTTACTTGATTCTCCATCAATCATGTTTTAGAGTCTCAAATCTGATCCTCAGGATCTTTTGAGGAGCGTTTGTTTCCAGAAGCTTTACTTTCACTGTTCCTCAGCGGAGGAATGATCTTCACAAGCCTCCAGAACATCTCACATCTGAGGAGGAGCCTTTATTTCTTCAGCTCTCAATCAGCATTGCATTAGATCATTTCAATCTCATCTTACTAAGACATTATTGGAGATATAGCGTGATGACTGATATTTAGATAATTTTATGTCAGTATCTGTTGCTGTATTGTTATAAAGATCTAATTGATTTACATTACAAGCATCATAATTTCATCATATAAATATCAGCATCTGTTGCAAATTTAAGCAAGGTTAAATAACAGCTGAAGCATTTCTTGACTCATTTTCTCCCCCCAAAAAATGTTTATTTAAAATATTTATGCTGAACTAATTCAATAAAATAGGGCAATTTCAGAGGTAAATTTGGGTTTGACATGCACTAGGAAGCAAGAGTTAAACTTCTGAATCAGGGCTCTACAGTGCGACCATTTCAGTCGCATTTGCGACAGAAAACTACTGCGTGCGACTAAGAAACATTTTTTCGGAGCACCAGTGCGACTGACCAGATCATCATCATATTTGTGATTGCGCTCAGGGGAGCTTCAAAGATTTCTACGTGTTTTTGCAGCGTTGAGTAATGTATCACAGACATATCTCACAAATCCTTTCATAAGCAAAGTGTAGACGGTGTAAATAAAAGATTCATTGTGCAGTGTAGAGATTATAAATGTGAGATCGCGATGAGCTAAGATGACAGATTTTAAGTTTGTAAATGTGTTTGTAAATGTGATACTGATTTAATACAACAGTTCAATAGACAAGAAGTTAATATTAAGTGACTTACATTGTCTGACTATAACACTATTGTCTGATTTTGCTCTATTTCTCCGTTGAAAATAGTTTAAAACAAAGACATAGCGAAGCCGCTGCGCATCTCTATTCAAACACAGCGGTGTTTCGGTTATGAATCAACGGGGCATTTTTAAACGAATCTAGTGAGTCAGTCACTTGCTTCATTCCTGAATGAATCAGCCGTTCGAATGAATCAATTGAATGAATGATTCAGTGATAAAATCAGTGATTTGCCGCCACCTGCTGGCAGTTTTAGTTAAATTTTTAAAGTATCTTTTCAGTTATTTAAATATTTAATATTTCTATATTAAAAATTTTATATTTAAAACATTAATCTCATCATGAATTTATGGATTTAATTGCATTCATGCTAACTCTGAGCCTCATTAAATGTCTGAAAGTACACCAATTTTTACAAACCTTTTGTGTTCTTCTGTGCCACCTCTACAAATGAATTTGGTTAATACTGATTTCATTTGATTTTTAACTTCTGTTTCTTATTCTACTTGTTCTTATTCTGTCGTTTTAACTACAATTTTTAAAAAGCTTATAAAATATAATTTTTTAAAGAATTTGACAAAAGGATGACATACTTTTAATAAAGTTAGAAAAACGCCAAAAAACTAAATTCCACTGTAAGCCACTTTAAGGAGTCAAATATCACCTCGTAATGGGAAGGCTAATTTTTGATACAATTTTGGATTATTGATTAGAAGGTGCTCCTAAAATTTTGAACGTGCTCCTAAATTTTTAAAGTAAGCGTAGAGCCCTGTGAATCCAATGCAAAACCCTTCCCACAGTTAGCGAGCTGTCTGGGTGACTCAGTGTTTGACTGGTGATTGTGAATGCAGATATGTAAACAAGATCAGATAAACTAAGCTATTGTACAGCGCTAGAGTGTTGACATAAGCATGATGCCACCTCTCCTAACCACAACATTTACCACAACCTGAAAAACAAGACAGGTGTTGACAGGTTTCCAATCACAAACATTTACCACTGTGTAAACTGTTTCACCAAAAATACCATAGTACTCAATGCAGGACAGGACACATCTGACAGTGCTTGACATGTTACTACAACTAGTCAGACTCCAAATCCAATTGCTATTTAAAGGAGAGCGCATTTTTATTAAGCAAGAAATCTTTCTGTCATTCTCATTTCTTTTAAAGATGCATTTCTGGCTTATTGTTATGACAGTAACTAACAATGACTGTATTTTTGGTGGAAACTACGGTCATTTCTGTAAGTGTTCTCTGGCTCTTCTGACAGGTCAGTCTAGTTTCGGTGACTCATGGGAAGTGACCAAACACACACAAACACACACACAGACACACACACAGACACACAGACACATACACACACAGACACACAGACACATACACACACAGACACACACACACAGACAGACACACAGACACACAGAGACACACACACACACACACACATACACAGACAAACAGACACAGACACACAGAGACACACACACACACACACACATACACAGACAAACAGACACAGACACACAGAGACACACACACACACACACACATACACAGACAAACAGACACAGACACACAGAGACACACACACACACACACACATACACAGACAAACAGACACAGACACACAGAGACACACACACACACACACACATACACAGACAAACAGACACAGACACACAGAGACACACACACACACACACACATACACAGACAAACAGACACAGACACACAGAGACACACACACACACACACACATACACAGACAAACAGACACAGACACACAGAGACACACACACACACACACACATACACAGACAAACAGACACAGACACACAGAGACACACACACACACACACACATACACAGACAAACAGACACAGACACACAGAGACACACACACACACACACACATACACAGACAAACAGACACAGACACACAGAGACACACACACACACACACACATACACAGACAAACAGACACAGACACACAGAGACACACACACACACACACACATACACAGACAAACAGACACAGACACACAGAGACACACACACACACACACACATACACAGACAAACAGACACAGACACACAGAGACACACACACACACACACACATACACAGACAAACAGACACAGACACACAGAGACACACACACACACACACACACACACCAGATAATGACCAGACAACAGAAGCTGTAAGCGGATCAGATGCGTAATTAAAGCGCAACCAGAACAGCAGGCCAGTGGAAATCCTGCACAGCTTATACCTACATTGATGTCAGTATTACACCGTGTGGAAATGAAAGGATCGCTATACTGTATAAAAGTACTGTGCTATCCTGCTGCTCAAACACTAGCAAACGTACCCGAGATCGTCTGACCCAGCCCGACCCGACCCGAGCGGCACAGTTCAATTTAGAGTACAAACCGAACCTGAATTCTTTTTTCTTTTCCCACAACGAATAGCCAATTAAAAAAAAAAAGCTGTATTTCACGATTGCATGCAACGGTGAGTAAACAAATACATGTGAAGAAACAGAATAATACAATTAAACTAGACACAGAATTGCACACAAAAACACTCTATCAGATGGTAATACTACCAAAGTACATTGATATTTATGGCACCAAATGACCAAAGCACAATGTATTTACATGGTACACCAAGGTACTTCCTTAAAATCTGTTCCAGTAGAGTATGGCGCTTGCAACAACAAGGCTGTGGGTTCGATTCCCAGTGAATGCATGAACTGATTAAAATAGATCATAAGTCACTTTGGATAAAAGCATCTGCCAAACGTATAAATGTCAAATAAACATGGGGGTACTATTTTATAAGGATGGTACTCTCGTGATATCCAAAAACATTGAATGATTACCATATTCCTATACAATGGTATGTACACGCTACTCCATAGACAACACGGTATTACCGCGTTACTTTGATACATATACCACTAACTACGTACTACAGCTTAATATTTACACAGAACTGTAATATTAGTAGGCTACATGAATATTACACTATGGTATAGCGTTATAAATGGCATTATTGTACAAAAAAAACATGGTAGTACAATATTACCTCAGTGTTATTATATGGAGCAGATTGAACTCACCCCACAGTAAAGCGATTATCGCGATCCACCGCGATGCCATTCCGCTCTTATCTCCACAACACACTGGCGTTTACACCGTTTTACTCCAGTAAACACACATGCTAGCGTGCTGTCCTCGGGCTGGTGCTGAAATCCCACTGACTAGCCGAACAAACACGCGCGAGCTTCTGCGTTTTCCCGCGGATTATGTCCCAAAGAGCGCGTGTCATAAACCAGCACCGCGATTGCGCAAACGGGTCGGTGTTCCGTTCGTTATCGCTCATTAACGCCTCATTTTCCCCTCGCGATCACGTCGTCCGAACGATTCGTACAGAAATCAGGCGGTCGACTGAGAGTAGTGCGTGACGTCACGGGCAAACACACGGACGCTCTATATGGCAAGCCGTTTTAGCATTAAAGGGGTCATATGATGCGATTTCAAGTTGTTCTTTCTCTTTGGAGTGTTACAAGCTGATTGTGCATAGATAAGATCCCTGAAGTTGCAAAGACTAAAGTCTCAAAACCAAAGAGATATTCTTTATCAAAGTTAAGACTCTGCCACACCCCCCTAAAACGGCTCGTTCTAACACACCCCCACATATCTACATCACTATGCGGAAATATTTGCGTAATGCCGCCCAAATGTGCACGCAAAGAAAGAAGGCGTGGTTTCA